TGACTAAAACCCCACACCACCACCCCGCTAGGTCTATTTAATAATCTCTTCCTCTCTTTCTTGAAATTGACGGATATCAATCATTTCTGCCTCGCCTAAATTACTGTTTGATAAACATAACTTTTTCCTGTTAGACTTTTCAGGGAACGTTGCGCGTGTTTTGGTTTTTCGTCCTGAAGGTGGTGGTGAAATTTAATTATTTATGCTGCTCTTGCGAAAAACCGACTCGACATGGTTTTACCGTTTGCAGTTTTTGTTAAAGAACGGTAGTAGAAAAGATTTTCCACCACCATTTATACTTTAGATCTACTTTTTTAAAAAAAAAAAACCTTCTGTCGCGTGCTTTTCATCAGCGGAAATGACGTCACAACTATGGTGTAAGGTACAGTAATGGAGGGGTAGTCTGAAAGGTTATCTGTCTGTATATGTTTTCTGTACAAAGTCCTTATTCCATTTTGCTTGTGTTCCATGCTAAGAAGAAAGTCTATCTAAATATGAGTGCTTGTGTTATGCGTGTCACTGCACAAGTCAGCAGTTCTGCATTAAATATTTGGCACAAGAGCAGGAGTAGCTGGGAATGGATGTTTGTTTGCCATTCTGACAACCCCGGAAGTACGGTGAAGTCACAGGTTCCTCACGTTTGTTTGCGCTCGTGTCAGGAACGTGCTAAATCAATTAGTTTCCAAGAATTGAGAAATTTAATTCGCAATTCGTTCTAAAATTAGTAATTACACCAAACCACCGCTATAAAAAGGAAACCCTATCCACTGTCTGCATAAAAACGTCTCAAGCAGCGACTGAATGATCAACTCTTCGCAAACGATTCTAAGTTAAAGATGTCTGGCGGATTTAGTTATTTCGATCGAAACGTTCCATCGATCGCTATCCACAGTCTTTTTGATAAATATGATATAAGAAGAGACGGAAAACTCGACGAAAGAGAGATGAAATCTTTCCTGGAGGAAGCGCTGGGTCTCGACTTTCATCAGTCGGAAATTTACTTCTTCCTCCTGGACAAAGACGGTGACCAAGGAATCTCGTATGAAGAATTCAAGGACTGGCTTCGGAGCGGGGAAAGATTCCAAAGATTGGACGATCGCTCCAAATTTCAGCGCGTCTGCATGGCGTACGAATATTTCAAAACATTTGACACCGATAACAGTGGTACGCTGGACAGAAGCCAGTTTGAATTGATGATGAAATACCTCGGCCACCATCACCTTGACATGGATAAGGTCTTCGCAAAAATGAACAGACACAACAATGGAAAACTCTCCTTCTGGGAATTCATGATATGGTTGAACTGGGCTCCCATTGAATAGTCCAGTGAGTTTTTCGGGACGACAAGAAGCGTCTCTTGAGTTCGCGTGCGATTGGCGTACCGTGGGTGGTGAAAGATTTTGACGATGCTGTGGTCGTGCATTTTAAAATATTGTGGAGAATTCATTGTAATTCTTTCGGCGGTCAAATTTCGGCAGGAAATATAACAGACATATGAACGAGATCATTAGGAAAACTGTGAGCATTATTAATATTAAGAGTGTGTAACTTAAAACTATAAATATATGAAACGAAGTAAAAATGTCTAGGAGCTTGAAGCTCGCTCTCAAAGTACAAACATGCTAAGATAAAAATATTATGTTACGTTTCTCCAAGATTGTATGGTAAATTATTGTTCCTTTGCAACCATTTGTGCCCTTACTACTCTGTGCTCTGTTCGAGATATGTTGCTTTTGGATTAACTCGAGATCACTTAGAGGAGATTAAACAGTTAATTCTCACTACGTCCCTTCTTGAATTTGTCCAGGAGCCATAATCGGGGACGGAGACCGTAAGCGCGCGCCATTTCTAGTATTTGGGTTGTCCCCATGATATGGGACAATAATTCTATTTTTAGAACAAATTGCGCCATCGCCTAAGGCACACGCGCGTACATGCTGCGAGGATTTTTGCGG